ATCCGAATCCGGGCGCAACCCCTGCGGCCAACCTGCTTCCGCTTGTTCTATGCTCCCGTTTTCTGTGGCTTGATGCCCGTGGCCAGGTGCACCGCATCGACCAAGCTGGAACAAGGCGACCCCCTGATGCTGCCTTCGACCGTGAGCTCCGCCCTGTCGATCGCGAACCGGCCCTCCTTGATGACCTTAACGTCCGCTCGCAGCAGCCGGATCGGGTTGTCCATCTCCTTCCTCGCTTGGCATCGCCTGTAGGCTCACACCCGCATCCGGCTCAATACTGGTAAGGCCCGTGTCTGGAACGCCGCTGGTGTCGCCCCTGCCGGAATCCAACACCTCCCCCACTCTGCGCAGGCTGGGTTGGGAGCCACGCCCTCCCTAGCGACCAACGCGACATCCGTGTCCTTGGCTCTGCTTGGGAGTGGCGAGTTCATCGCTGCCAGTCTGGCCGCCCTCAGCGCTGACCATGTGGCCCTTCTCGACCAGCTCCCCGGCCTGCCGGATCTCCAGGCAGCTTGGTTGTTGCTCCTTTACTGCGCCTCTGCCCGCGTCCTGCCCCCTGAGCAAACGCGGGCCTTTGCGGCTGAGCACGACCGTTCCCTTCTCCACTGCTTGGCGCACCTCCTGCAGTTTGAGCGGCCCTCCTGCCCGACACCGCCGCCAGCTTGCTTTCGCCACGGCGGGCTCGGTCTCCGAAGCGCCGTGCAGCACGGCGCAGCCGCGTTTTGGGCATCTTGGGCGGATAGTTTGCTTTCCCTCGCCGTCCGGGCGCCCGACGTCTTCACCACTCTCAAGGACCGGACCAGGGGGTGGAAACGTGCCGCCTCCTGCGCTGTCGATGACAGCTTCGCCCTCGCGCCGGCTCGCGCCTGCCTCGTGTGCCGAGCTTTTGTCCCAGTCTGGCCCCTTCGCTTCCCGTGTCTTCCTTGCTGTCCGTACTCTTGAGCCCCCGCTCTTTCTCGTGGCTCCCTTGCCGTTTGGGTCTGCCTCGTGTTCGTACGGGAGAGCTCTAGACGAGCTCGGGGTCGCGGGCCGGGCCCCTTGAGCGCGCCGCCGCCCGGGTCTGTCGTGAGGCCGGCGCCATGGTGACCACCCACACGCTCCTTCGAGACTTGAACGTGCGTGTCGACAGCCTTGATGACAGGCGCATCGAGGTTATCGCCAATGGCCTTCCTCTCTTTGGGGGGCCGTGCAGCGACCCTGGTCCCGGCCCGGGACTCAGCCGGCCACGCGCGGGTTTACCAGCGCCGCGCCGAGGGAGCCGCGCTGAGATCCTTTCGTCTCATCGCTGCCGCCTTGTCGTTGTCGGACTTGAAGTTGGTGGCCGCTGGATCGCTGAGGCCGCACAGTTTGTCAGCTCGCTTGCCCGGGCCCGCGCCCGCTCTGTGCCAGATGACGTGCAAGCCTCATGTGCCGCAGCATGCCGCGCCCGGTGATCGGCGCACAATCCTGAGCCCATGCCAGATGTTAGCGACATCCTTGCGGACTTCCGGTACTCCGAAGCGCCCAGCTGCCCTCTGCCCGGACGCTGGCCGGGTCAGCGACAGCGCTGCATGTGGGGAGGCTGGCCTCCACAGCCACAGCCTAAGTGCCGACTGGGGTGCCTAAGAAAGCCGGGCTCGGCCGCCGGCTTGTCGCCGCGCCACACGTCCGAGCTCGGCGATGCCAGGCGGCGGCGGGCCAGGAGTTGCACTGTAGACCCGTGTTTTCCACAAATTGGCGCAAACGCCTGCTCGCTTCTCGACGTGCCGGGTGGTGCTGTCGAGCACGACGCGGGCACGTTCAGGCGGGGTCGAGAGGTAAAGATCATCGAGAAAAGCTGCGAGAAATTCCCCCTCTTGCAAATGCCGCCGGCAGGGCGTCGCGGGCGCCAAGGCGTCTCCGTGCTCGCAACCTTCGCGCTGGTGAACAATGTGGCATGCGCCCGCTAGCACTGCTGAGGGGGCAACGTCGCGCAGCTTCGTTAGGAAGGCCGCCCGCGACACGGAGTCGTAAGCGCTCCGGCCGTCCAGGGAGATGATCGTGGCCCGCGTATCGAGCTCGGAAGCCGTGCGCAACAAGGAAGCCAACGAATCCGTGCCGGCTCCAGCCTGCAGCGCGTGCTGAAACGGGCGGGTGGCCTCGTCGAAAGGCGACGCAAACTGTCGCGCCCCGCGTGGCAATGCCACGGACTCCCCAAGCTGGCCCATCCGGTTGACAACTAGAGAAGTTGGGGATGCCTCTTGAGAAGCACCGTGGCGCCAGCGGAGCCACAGCGGAACATTACCGCCTGCTGCTCGATGATGAAGCCAGCCTCGAGCTACTCACGCACGCGGCGCCCCAGCTGGCCGTTGCGGCTTGCGCACTTGACGGCCCTGGGCTGGAACTCCAAGACATCCTCCAGGATGGGCCTGCGCAGCGTGCAGGATCCGTCAAGGCCGCGAGCGTAGCGGCATTGTCGGGGGCAAGCTCCGCGGCGGTCAGGGTCTGACAGGCACGGGAAAGCTCGGCTCGGGCTCGGCTCGCCGGCCGAGAAGCGTCAGCCGCACGAGCTCCACCAGCCCGCCAGGAAGTCGGAGACCCTGCCTTTCCCACTGCCCCTGTATCCGCGCAGCGCGCAAACCTCCAGGGCATACACCAAGGCACACGCAAGGTCGGCACCGGCGTTGCAAATCCTCAGCCAAATTAACATCTTCCAACCAAATCCAAGAAGATTCGGGCACCGAAGGTCCCGCAGGCCCCGCCGTCGGCCCGAGCAAGGAATCGACTCACTCGCCGCCTGCGGCGGAGTGCCCTCATCTGTGGCGCGACTGGCTTGCCCGACCTGGCCTGGCCGTGGGCCGGCGCGGGGGCTCCGTGGAAGGCTTGGCTGCGGGCGAGCCTGCGCTAAAACCGTGTGCCGGGGCACGGCCGTGATTGGAACGGCCACGCGCGGGGCACAATCAAAAACTACAAACTCGGCCCCAAAGGAGGTGTGCCACATCCCCCGGGCGTTGACGCACCACTTCCCACAGCCGCCCAGCACGCCCTGCACGGCGCTCGCTTGAGGGCAGCTTTCGCAGCTCTTGACCCTTTCAATGCGGAAGATGTCCTCCTTCCGTGCTCCACCGCAGTTTTTGCGGCTGTCGGTGCCGGGGCGGAGCGCGCGTGGAAGCTTTGGCTTTTCCTTCCACGCATGCTCCTTCATAGGCCGTTCGCGGCCCGGTTTTCGGCTTTCGTTCGTGGTGAGTGGGCGGAGCTCTTGCGCGAGGCCATCTTGGTGAGCTGTCCCCAGTTGGTACTGGGAGCTCTGGCTGGCGGGATGTGCGTGCGAGCAACGTAAACAGGGCCGCTGTTTTTATCCGACACGCTTGCCCGCAATTTGCTGATAAAATGCGACACTTGAGGGACTCACCTAAGTGATCTGTTTTTTTTTGACGCCGAGCCCGCACCGGGGCGTCCGGCGTGTGTTAAAAGCGCGGTTTTGTATGTAACCAGTACAGATTGCAAGCTGGTTTGGAGTCTGGCCGGGCCTCGCGCGTTTGGCACGGTCGCCTGTGTGCTACAACCCTCTTGGCACCAGACGTTTTGCAGCATGCTCTCGAAATCGCCGGCTGAGATAACCATCGCGCATATTCTGCTGCGGCAATCCTTAAAAAAGGCATTTGGACCAGGCGGCGGCGCCGCGCGTCGCACAGTTCGCTGCCCAGCTGCTCATGGGTGGCATCAACGGCGCTTTGGCAGGGAGGGTCGAGTCTAGTAATGCTAAGCTCAAAGGGCTCTGACGCGCAAAAGGGATGCTTTTTGTTTGTTTCAAGTTTGGCAAACTGCTTGTGGTGATGGCAAACGTGTGGAGGTAAAGCAGTTTCCCGTTGCTTGTGGGGGGCAACGCACCGCCTTGTCTGCAGCCCGATCACACTGCTGGGCCGCCGTCTGCGTGCTCACCGCAGCAAACCCGGGGACCAGTTTCGGCGCCAAACTCGACGGACTTCAAGTTGGCGCGTGGAACAGGCTATATAAGTCGTTGGGCCAAGCTCTACGGTGAAAAACGATCGTGGCCAAGTCCACACGGGTAGACGACAAACAAAAAGGCCTGGGAAGTTGGGTTGTGAGACAAATTGCTTTTGATAGCACTCGCGCACCACGGATTTTGAGAAGCGGTGGTCCGTGTGTCTCTTAGAAGCAGCATAAACCCCGACCGAGGCGAACGAGACCACCGTTCAAACTGCAAGAGTGCCTTGAACCTGCCTTGCAAGAGACAGGAACTTGCATTTCAAACCGATGAGACTCGATTGCACAAACACCCAAGCCTGCATGGTTGCGTCAGCGAGATGCCTCAGCGTTCACTAGTGGTGGCATCAGTTCATTGCAGCTCCTGGGACTGAACAAATGTTTGCCGCGTGAGTCGAAAATCTGACTTGGCCTGCTTTGGGATATTGTCAACATTAAACAAGCTCCAAGAAAGCAATCACATTCTAAGCACAAATTCTACAATAGAAACCGAATATCCTTCAAACCCAAGCCGCCCAACCTTGTCCATGTTGGTTGCTCAAACGCAGTATCCGTAATTGGCTGCTGTACTAATGCAACGCGAGGAATGATTGAAGGTCTGACTTGATAAAACACACCTGCGAGAGCTTGTTGACCAACTGCTCAGCATGAGCCGTGACATCGCCACCCAGCTCCAAGAATGGAACAGCACCGACTACTGTCTGAAAATACTTCATGGCTCTCATGAGGTACTCTGCCAAACTTGCACTCGCTGCGGTTGCCCCCACTCCAGCGAACGTGTCAGCCCTGACAATCACATGGTTCTTCATAGTAACACCCGCCTCTCTCCTTGCCCCAAGAAAGCGAACTTGGCTTGTGAAATGGTTCACAGTCAGCAGAAAAAATACTAGTTTCAGCCATTGGCGCTTCATGACATGCTACAGCGATTCCTGGAAGTAATGACATTGTTGCTCCATGCGTTTCTCCCATGCTGTTGGTCCGCGTTCTGCAATGATGCTCATTTAGCACTGGCACTGGTAGGCGTGATTTCTTGTCCGCTGCTGCTCAACTTCTCTGAGCGCCACGCTCAACAAATAGCATCAAACACTTGTGCACAAGTTGCCTCAAAAAGATCAAACTGGCAAGCCACGAGAGCAATCCTTTCCCCCACACTTCAACAAACGGTTCGGTACTGCATCCGCGCGCTTTGACACAGGGAGGAATGCCTCGGTGAAACAGCTGTTCACAAGCGCCCGCAACTGTTGCTGGTCCTGTACCCGTTGCAGGCATTCCCTTCTTGACTTGAACACCGTAGCCTGATGCTCAAAAGTGTGAACAGTGACCTCCCTTACCCTTCAAGAGTCAAGCAAAGTCGCACTGCAACGAAACAACTGTGCCTGCGACTGCGCTTTTTTGGTTCCTGTACGAGTGAAACGTTGTGGGCCAGCATTGCTTCAGCCGAGAACAGTGACCACAGCCAGCAGTAGCCTGGCAGCGACACAAGTTCACAAGTGTAGAACGCTGCTGCGCTGCTGAGGTGCCTCAAACTATGTGGCTCCAGCAGCTCCAGCTGGCAACATGAATCCGTAGCAGTCTGCCCTGACAGCTGGGCGACGGCGCAACCCAAAGTTGAAAGGCATCGGAACCAAGTGCTGGGCTCATTTGTCTTGCGCAGACTTGCTGACATCCTCGTTTCCTTGACCCAGCGGCCGTCCTGCAAGGTCCAGCTGAGAGACGGCAATGGGGTGAGGTGTGGATAATGGAACAAGGCGCGATTGGACGAGCTCTCCTGAGCTCGGCGGTAGATGTCAATTTGATAGGCATCGCAGGATACAGTATTTGGGTTCTCCTGCTTCATGGCCTCAAGCAACGCTCAGAGTTGAAATCACTCAAACCCTCCATCTTTGTCATCACCCTTCTGCCAACAGCTCGCAAGACAGCATGAGCGACATTCGGCTTGAGGGCAGCACTTTCTTCAAATATGCCTGACAACATTGAAGCTAAGACACGCAGCATCCTCAAAGTTCAAGTCCACACAAGAAGCGATCAAAATGCATTCAACAAATACATGTCAGGAGTGCTATGTTTTGCGGCACTGGGTCGATTGGAAAAGCATCGCCAGCGGGCTGGAAGCCGCCACTGCCCTGCAAACGGCAGAAAAAATACAACATCTCCATGAATTCGATTTTGAAGGTGGGCGACAATTTAAGTGTTCTTCCGAGAAAAAACTCCTGGCCGTCCTCGCAAGGCACAAGCACTGCAATCCGGTTCAGTCGACCCTTTGACAGCTTTTTCTCGAACATGAACGCAAGGCAGGCAAGACTGCATTTAGCCGGTAAGGCTCGGGCAATGCTTCTCAGCTGACACACCCACACCACAGCGGATGGTTGCGAGGTGGCACTGCCTTGCAGGCGGCATTCTGGGCAAGCAAGGTGATAAGTGCGCCCGTTGGCTTTCATTCAACATGTTACTGGTCGAGCCTCGGAAAGATCTGCGATACATCCAACTAGAAAGCAACAGGCATTCACACTGAATCCATTGCCAGGGAACAAGCAATGACAAAAAACAAGCGATGTGAAGGAGCAACTTTCTGGCGTTAGACACCTTTCGATTTTTAAAGCCAATGTTGCTCGGTTGTGAGGAAAAACCGCGGGGGATTTTGGTTGACTAAACACGCATCCGAGTTTCCTGCGCCCATACTGTCGACCCGCTCCAGCTCTTTGGCAATCTTCCACCTCATCAAAGTCCCTGATGGTACGAGTGCGTACTCATGCTTGCCATCCCAAATGCCTTTGGGACGATCGAAGGCAATTGCCCTCCTCGGAATGATGCCACCCACATTCTTCCCTGCAATAAGCTTTGCAGCACCGTCCATCTCCACGTCATAGACGGGTGACCAGCCCTGCTTCACCAGGTTCCGCAAATGTTTCTTTGCATCAGGGTCAGCCGCGCAGCTGGGCAAGCCAGGACAATCTATCAAGGCAAAAGGGTCAAAGTCTTCCTCAAGTTCGTGCAAATTCTTCACACCTCGGCAGCAAAGGTCAATGTTACCGCCACAATAGGCGAAGAATTGCTCTGCAAGGTCTTCGCTCATGTTCCACCTCTTCACCATCAGGCTCAACATCTCCCCCTTCGGCACTTCGTTGGCTATGACAATCTTCTGTACATCCTGCAAATTCATGCCACAGGCTTGAAGCCGATAGGGATAAGCCAGCTCTGAACTAATGAGCACCACACTTGCCAACTGTTCCTGCTTGGTAAGCATGACTAAGAACTGGAGCGCTCGGGTTGCTTCTGCACGGTCACTGTCAAGCAGCCCAGGCAGCGCCAGGTTTGCTTCATCGACCATGAGGCATGTTCTGTTTCCTTGTTTTTCCAAGAGGGTAGAAATAATGCCCCTCAGAGTGACTTTGGGCGACAAGAGCTGTTCTACCAAATCCGACGTTTTGGTTGTCTTCCGACGGGAAAGAAATTGAATGAAATCCGACGCCAGCTTCGGCGCAAATTTCTTAAGGAGCTTTCGAAAGCTAGGTGTCTTCTTGTCAATGCGATCGAAAATTGCACTAAAAAGTGGCTTGTTGGGGTCTTCCCGCATGTCAATGTCAATGATGGTCAAATTTGCCTGTACCTCATTCTCTGCGGCGCAAGTGGCTCCTTTGAGCACCAAGGTCTTGCCTAAGTTCTTCCCACCAAGTACCAGAGTAAAAGCTTGGGAAAACATTGCATCTTTGATTGCCGCCACAAACGCATCTCTGTCCACCACTTCATTGCTCTTGGTGAATTTATCTGCCGCTTCTCCCACATTGCAGATGTACTGCTCAACTTCCAGGCCAGCTTCTTTCGCAGCCTCACACGCCAACCTGTAGAACTGATATGGAGGACTTATTGTTGGTCTTCCTTGGACTTCTTCGCCAGTGCAGCGCAATCTGATGCTGGAATATTTGCCTTGATGTCCCGCACAAATCAAATTAAATTGAAAAGCGAGGAAAACATACTCATTTCAGTCAAAAAGTAGCCTACAGACACACTCTTACAAACCCTTTGTCAAAGGCACCGTGCTTCAGCGATTGGATGAAGCACGCACCAGAGGCCAGGTAGACTGCAAGGATTGGAAGGGCGAGGAGCCATGGCTTTCTGTGTAAACGTGTCATGGTCGTTGAAACGCAAATGTAGGAACAGTACAGTTTGTTCTTGAGAGGAACACATATTGGTTGCCTTTTCAATCTAGCTGTACCTCAGCCGTGCGTGTCTTGGATTGCAGTCAGACTGGATCCGTGAAGTGATGCATGACACTAGTAAGTTAGCTTGCCAAAGCCGAGATTGGCTACAGAGATGCACCCATCAACTTGGCCAACAATCCAAAGTGCTCATCGGCACAGCTACTACTCTCTGACAAAAAGAGAGGGCATGCCCGTTGTTGCAAAACACGAAAAAAACATTCCTCTCCATTCGCATCCGAGTACTTCCCGACAACTACAGAACATACCGAGCAACTTTGCCTCAGAAAACATACTGCTACAATTTCCCATGGAAACCAAACCAGTGCTTCCAGCGCATTAGCATCACGCGTTCCACCGCAAAAAAAATCATTTTCCCTGCAAAAAACAGCCACACAGGATACCCAAGGGCCTTTCCCTGCGAAAACACGACGCGTATTGTTTTGTGATTCTGAAGCTTCGGATAAACCGTCGATACATTCAACTGGAAAGCAACAAGTACTTCCCATCCGAAGGCCACTGAACAAGAACAGCAAGAAATGATGTGGAGGGGAGTTGGTCTGACAGCGCCAAACGAAAAAACATGGTGTTTGAAATCAAAGAGGGAAAGCGGCGGTTGGAGGTTTACCATATATCAACATAGCGCGTTTGAGCTATTTCAGGCTTGCGCCTTGCCCTGCTCGACGTGGGGCGCTTGGAACGCGACCAGTCTGCAAATACTCGTCGATGTCGACCGGTTTCCAACGCCCAAAGTCATCGGGAACTTGGGCCATGTTCAGAACCTCCTCGATGAACTGCCCCTGCAACTGCTGCTCTTTGCCCCTGTCCAAGTACATTTTCTCCTGCTCTTGATCCCACCGGTAGACACGCTCCTCCTCGTGCTGCTGCGGTGCTTGCCGAGTCCGTGCTCTTTTGAGGTCGGCAACCTGGTTGGCTGCTTCCGTGGATTGAACAACCACTATGAAGTGGTGGCCATGCGCAAATGATTATTGTCGAAAATGATCTGCAAGCGGATGCCCTGCTTTTTCAGGAGAGGGAAAAGGGCCCAAGCAACATCTGTAGCTACTGCAGGGTCCGACACACGGAAAAAGTCCCGGACATTCTTAGTAAAATCCCCCTGCAAAAGACCTGAGTTGTGTCTTTGTACCGCTAGCGCTGTCGCCACTGATTTCCCAATTCCGGGTTCTGCGTGCACCACCGAGCAACCATTAGGTTTGCTGTCCTTCAAAACAGCTATCATAAGTTGCTCAGATGCAGTGTCCGTAATTGGCTGCTGTACTGAGGTGACGCGAGGAATGATTGGAGGTCTGACTGAATTGTTCCAAACCACGTAATTCACCTGCTGGAGCTTGTTGGCCAACTGCTCAGCATGAGCCGTGACCTCGCCACAGCTCCAAGAATGGAACAGCACCGAATGATGTCTGAGAATACTTCATGGCTCTCATGAGGTACTCTGCCAAACTTGCACTCGCTGCGGCTGCCCCCACTCCAGCGAACGTGTCAGCCCTGACAATCACATGGTTCTTCATAATAACACCCGCCTCTCTCCTTGCCCCAAGAAAGGCGAGAGAGAGAACTTGGCTGGTTCACAGTCAGCAGAAAAAATACCAGCTTCAGCCATTGGCGCTTCATGACATGCTACCACGATTCCTGGAAGTAGTGACATTGTTGCTCCATGCGTTTCTCCCATGCTGTTGTCCGCGTTCTGCAATGATGCTCATTAGCACTGGCGCTGGTGGGCGTGATTTCTTGTCCGCTGCTGTTCAACTTCTCTGAGAGCCGCTCTCAACAAATAGCATCAAACACTTGTGCGCAAGTTGCCTCAAAAAGATCAAACTGGCAAGCCACTAGAGCAATCCTTTCCGCACACTTCTTCAAACGGCTTGGTACTGCATCCGCGCGCTTTGGCACAGGGAGGAACGCCTCGGTGAAACAGCTGTTGACCAGCGCCGGCAACTGCTGCTGGTCCTGTACCCGTTGCAGGCATTCCCTTCTTGACTTGAACACCGCAGCCTGATGCTCAAAAGTGTGAACATTTACCTCCCTTACCCTTCAAGAGTCAAGCAAAGTCGCACTGCAACGAAACAACTGTGCCTGCGACTGCACTTTTTTGTTCCTGTACGAAGTGAAGCGTTGTGCGCCAGCATTGCCTCAGCCGAGAACAGTGACCACAGCCAGCAGTAGCCTGGCAACGATGCAAGTTCACAAGTGTAGAAGACTGCTGCGCTGCTGAGGTGCCTCAAAATACACCAGCTCCCAGCTGGCAACATGAAGCCGTAACAGTCTGCCCTGACAGCTGGGCGACGGCACAACCCAAAATTGAAAGGGTCCAGATTTAATTTAGGATTTTCCCGGTTTTATGATTTTTTTGTTGGATTCAAGGCCTGCAGGCTAAAATGCTGGAATTTACGTGGTTTCGAGCGGTTTCGAGCAGGAGCCGGAGCGGAGCCGGAGCGGAGCCGGAGCGGAGCCGGAGCGGAGCCGGAGCTGAGCCGGAGCGGAGCCGGAGCTGAGCCGGAGCGGGAGCGGAGCCGGAGCGGAGCCGGAGCGTAGCAGGAGCTGAGCCGGAGCTGAGCCGGAGCTGAGCCGGAGCTGGGCCGGAGCTGAGCCGGAGCGGAGCCGGAGCTGAGCCGGAGCGGAGACGGAGGCGGAGCGCAGGCGGAAGCGCAGGCGGAGCGCAAGCGAAGCGCAGGGCAGGCGGAGCTGAGTCGGAGCGGAGCCGGAGCTGAGCCGGAGCGGAGCCGGAGCGGAGCCGGACCGCAAGCGAAGCGCAGGGCAGGCGGAGCTGAGCCGGAGCGGAGCCGGAGCTGAGCCGGAGCGCCGGAGCGGAGCCGGAGCTGAGGCGGAGCGGAGCCGGAGCGGAGCCGGAGCTGAGCCGGAGCGGAGCCGGAGCGGAGCCGGAGCGGAGCCGGAGCTGAGCCGGAGCTGAGCCGGAGCGGAGCCGGAGCGGAGCCGGAGCGGAGCCGGAGCGGAGCCGGAGGCGGAGCGCAAGCGGAGCGCAGGCGGAGCGCAGGCGGAGCGCAAGCGAAGCGCAGGGCAGGCGGGGCGGAGCCGGAGCTGAGCCGGAGCGGAGCCGGAGCTGAGCCGGAGCGGAGCCGGAGCGGAGCCGGAGCGGAGCCGGAGCGGAGCCGGAGCGGAGCCGCTGGAGCCGAGCCGGAGCGGAGCCGGAGCGGAGCCGGAGCTGAGTCGGAGCGGAGCCGGAGCGGAGCCGGAGCTGAGCCGGAGCGGAGCCGGAGCGGAGCCGGAGCGGAGGCGGAGACGTTCCATGATGTTGGGAAGTTTGCTGATTCTTTTCATTTCAAAAGTGGCGGGAGGGTGGGGGGGGCCCCCGCATGATGGATTTGCGTGTATTTGTCAGGGGTGCCAAAACTGAAAACACAACCCCGACTCTCAAGCACGTATAACTCTCTTTCCAAAGGCTGTCATCTTGAGCCCTCATGCATTAAGGCATCTCTCATGCCAAGCACACGTGTTTCACATGTACGTGTATGGAGTGAAAATGTCAACACCCCACCTGAGATTTGATTCTTTGAATCTCATCTCAATGACATTACCATCACGGCTGTCAAAACAAAGAATATCTCATCCCGAGTACATGGTGCTTTTGCCACACACTCAAGTTTCTGATCTTATCAAACTCCAACTGCACAAAATGCGCAAATTCATACCCCGCTTGACCCAAGGGCTCGTCTCCTGACCACTTCAGTGAAAACCGGTCCACATTTCTCTCAAACTCGTCTCATCCTGAAAAGTCCCGGCTGCCACTGCTCTGTGAAGTGTGTCTGCGGCTGATGTCGTTCTCCTTCAACTGCCCTGTTCCAATACTGGAAGACCATCCAAAACACGTTCTACACCTTCCTTTTCCCCGACGCTCAGCTTCCTCTAGAGAAACCTCCCAGGCTTCCCGATTGCAAAGCCACTTGCAATGAACCTTGTGATAGAAACCACCAGTCCTTGTGACAACAACAGTCTCGTATCCAAGCTGTTGTCCGGCATTCTTCTCAAGAAAGTGCACCTTAGGATAAAGGTATTGCATCTTCGGCTGAGGTAGAGGAATCTGAACCTCTGGCTCGTCTTCTTTCTCCTTTTTCTTCTCCTTCTCATCAGATGATGCATCACACATCTCAGTGCTAATGATCTTCCTGCTTGCAATCTTCTGGTAAATCCAATACAGCAATGCACACATTGAAATGGTCATGGATGTAACTGTAAAGAAAATACAGAATACCACAAACCACATAAACATGCCGTCTCCATGCTCACGCATATTTTCAACTGCGAAAATTCCTTCACCAGTGCCCATAGCAACCGTAGGTGTTGTAAGGAAAGTAATCACACGGGCGATGCGCTTCACTTCTGGCATCATGATTGCTGCATTGTTCACTCGCAAAATACTCAGTGCTTCTTTGAACGTAAGCTTCTTATCCTGCTTTGCCATTTCTTCATACATCTCTTCTCGTCCGACGCGCTCAATCTGGCCGTCTGCAAATCTGACTGTCTTCATCAATCCCAGCAGAAATTGCACACGCTTCATGCTCAATGCCTTTGTACACAAATCTGCAGGGTTGACCAATGTTCCAACTGATTTGATCAAAACCCTTCGCTGCTGTACCCAACTCTGCACCCACAAGAGTGAAATAGCAATGTGCTTCAACTTGCCTGTTCCAACTCGGCACATAATCGCTTTTGCAGCTGAAGAGTCAGTCCTCAAAACCAGCATTGATCTCCTCGAAGATCTGGATTGGTCCACTGTCAATTCACCATCATCTTGCACATTCCCTTTGAGTGAATCAAAGATGCGCTGCACACCAATCGCCTCCTGTAAGGCACCGGCTGCTGCCACAAACTCTGCTTCTGCACTTGATGTCGAAACGCACTTCTGGGATCGGCTATAGTAGGTCATCACTGACCCATTCAAGCAAACCACCGCGCCTGAACAACTCTTCCTCAC